AGACCAACCTGGCCAGCCAGACCAATCAACCAGACCGGACCAGCCAGACGAACGGGACCAGCCAGGCCAAGCAATCAGACCAACCAGTTCGACCAGCCAGACCCACCAGACCAGCCAGACCAACTGGACCAGACAAGCCAGACCAACCTCCATCGTCCTCGTCGTGGTCGTCGTGGTCGTGGTCGCAGCCCTGTCGGCGTATCCGTTTTAATGAAGACAGTTCCAGCTTTTTGGGACGCCAGATTCAGCTGAAGTCGTCGTGGTCGTCGTCTTCCCGGTTGTCGTCGTCGCGGCCGTCCTGGTCGCGGTCGCAGCCTTGTCGGAGTATATCTTTTTCTGGAGACGGGCTCAGACGGCCCCAAGAGGGCCCAAGAGGCCCCCAAAACGGCCCAAGAGGCAACCGAGAGATCCGCCACCGCGCTTGCAGCGGTAGGTGTGTCTCAGGCCCAGTCGTCGTGGTCCCAGACGTTCGTGCTGCAACCTCCCCTAAACCACTCGCGCCCGAAACCTAAGGTAAAGCTGCAAGACGAAGCTCAAACCAGACCCACCAGGCCAGCCAGACCAGATGCAAAAAAAAACTGCAATGCAGAAACAACTGCAATGCAAACACAGTGTTCGTGTCGTCGTGGTCCCAGACGTTCGTGCTGCAACCTCCCCTAAACCACTCTCGCCCGAAGCTTAAACTAAAGCTGCAAGACGAAGCTCAAACCAGACCAACCAGACCAGCCAGACCAGATGCAAACAAACTGCAATGCAGAAGCAACTGCAATGCAAAAAAAACAGTTTTCGTGTCGTCGTGGTCCCAGACGTTCGTGCTGCAACCTCCCCTAAACCACTCTCGCCCGAATCCCAAGCTAAGGCTGAAAGACGAGGCTCAAACCAGACCAACCAGACCAGCCAGACCAGATGCAAAAAAAATTGCAATGCAAAATAAACTGCTGCTTTTCGGTGGTGGTGGTAGTGGTTGCCTCCCCGGACCTCCCCTAAACCACTCTCGCCTGAATCCTAAGCTAAAGCCTCAGCACCAGGCTCAAACCAGACCGACCAGACCAGCCAGACCAGATGCAAACAAACTGCAATGCAGAAGCAACTGCAATGCAAAAAAAACAGTTTTCGTGTCGTCGTGGTCCCAGACGTTCGTGCTGCAACCTCCCCTAAACCACTCTCGCCCGAATCCCAAGCTAAGGCTGAAAGACGAGGCTCAAACCAGACCAACCAGACCAGCCAGACCAGATGCCAAAAAATTGCAATGCAAAAAACTGCTGCTTTTCGGTGGTGGTGGTAGTGGTTGCCTCCCCGGACCTCCCCTAAACCACTCTCGCCTGAATCCTAAGCTAAAGCCTCAGCACCAGGCTCAAACCAGACCGACCAGACCAGCCAGACCAGATGCAAACAAAAACTGCAATGCAAAAAACTGCACTGCAAAAAACTGCAATGCAAGAAAAACTGCTTTTCGGTGGTGGTAGTGGTTGTCGCTGCCTCCCCGCAGCTCACCTAAACCACTCGTCTGAATCCTAAGCTAAAGCCTCAGTACCAGGCTCAAACCAGATGCAAACAAAAAACTGCTTTTCGGTGGTGGTGGTAATGGATGTCGCTGCCTCCCCGGACCTCCACTAAACCACTCTCGCCTGAATCCTAAGCTAAAGCCTCAGCACCAAGCTCAAACCAGACCACCCAGACCAGCCAGACCAGATGCAACAAAAATGCAATGCAAACAAAAACTGCAATGCAAAAAAAAACTGCAATGCTAAAAAAACTGCAATGCAACAAAATCCGCTTTTCGGAAGGGGTAGTAGTTGTTGCTGCCTCCCCGGACCTCCCCTAAACCACTCTCACCTGAGTCCTAAGCTAAAGTCTCAGCACCAGGCTCAACCAGACCACCCAGACCAGCCAGACCAGATGGAAAAAAAACTGCAATGCAAAAAAACTGCAGTGCAAACAAAAACTGCAATGCAAAAAAAACATGCTTTTCGGCGGTAGTGGTTGTCGCTGCCTCCCCGGACTTCCCCTAAACCACTCTCGCCTGAATCCTAAGTTAAAGCCTCAGCACCAAGCTCAAACCAGACCACCTAGACCAGCCAGACCAGATGCAAGAAAAATGCAATGCAAACAAAAGCTGCATTGCAAAAAAAACTGCAATGCAAAAAAACTGCAATGCATCAAATCTGCTTTTCGGAAGGGGTAGTGGTTGTTGCTGCCTCCCCGGACCTCCCCTAAACCACTCTCGCCTGAATCCTAAGCTAAAGCCTCAGCACCAAGCTCAAACCAGACCACCCAGACCAGCCAGACCAGATGGAAAAAAGATGCAATGCAAACAAAAACTGCAATGCAAAAAAAACTGCAATGCAAAAAAAACTGCAATGCATCAAAATCTGCTTTTCGGAAGGGGTAGTGGTTGTTGCTGCCTCCCCGGACTTCCCCTAAACCACTCTCGCCTGAATCCTAAGCTAAAGCCTCAGCACCAGGTTCAATCCAGACCAACCAGACCAGCCAGACCAGATGCAAAAAAACTGCAATGCAAAAAAACTGCAGTGCAAAAAAAACTGCAATGCAAAACAAACATGCTTTTCGGTGGTAGTGGTTGTCGCTGCCTCCCCGGACTTCCCCTAAACCACTCTCGCCCGAATCCTAAGCTAAAGCCTCAGCACCAGGCTCAAACCAGACCAACCAGACCAGCCAGACCAGATGCAAAAAAAACTGCAATGCAAAAAAACTGCAGTGCAACAAAAACTGCAATGAGACAAAAACTGCTTTTCGGTGGTAGTGGTTGTCGCTGCCTCCCTGGACTTCCCCTAAACCACTTTCGCCTGAATCCTAAGCTAAAGCCTTAGCACCAAGCTCAAACCAGACCACCCAGACCAGCCAGACCAGATGCAGAAAAAGCTGCAATGCAAAAAAAACTGCAATGCAACAAAAACTGCAATGCAAAAAAAAATGCTTTTCGGTAGTAGTGGTTGTTGCTGCCTCCCCGGACCTCCCCTAAACCACTCTCGCCTGAATCCTAAGCTAAAGCCTCAGCACCAAGCTCAAAACCAGACCAACCAGGCCAGCCAGACCAGACGCAACAACAAACTGCAATGCAAAAAAAAACAATGCAAAGAAAAACTGCTTTTCGGTGGTAGTGGTTGTCGCTGCCTCCCAGGACCTCCCCTAAACCACTCTCGCCTGAATTCTAAGCTAAAGCCTCAGCACCAAGCTCAAACCAGACCACCTAGACCAGCCAGACCAGATGGAAAAAAGATGCAATGCGAACAAAAACTGCAATGCGAAAAATGGCAATGCAAAAAAAAACTGCAATGCCAAAAAATCTGCTTTTCGGAAGGGGTAGTGGTTGTTGCTGCCTCCCCGGACCTCCCCTAGACCACTCTCGCCTGAATCCTACGCTAAAGCCTCAGCACCAGGCTCAAACCACACCAACCAGACCAGCCAGACCAGATGCAAAAAAAGCTGCAATGCAAAAAAAACTGCAGTGCAAAAAAAACTGCAATGCAAAAAACATGCTTTTCGGTGGTAGTGGTTGTCGCTGCCTCCCTGGACTTCCCCTAAACCACTCTCGCCTGAATCCTAAGCTAAAGCCTCAGCACCAGGCGCAAACCAGACCGACCAGACCAGCCAGACCAGATGCAGAAAAAGCTGCGCAAAAAAAAAACGCAGTGCCAAAAAAAGGGCAATGCAAAAAAAGTGCTCTTCGGTGGTAGTGGTTGTCGCTGCCTCCCCGGACTTCCCCTAAACCACTTTCGCCTGAATCCTAAGCTAAAGTCTCAGCACCAGGCTCAAACCAGACCAACCAGACCAGCCAGACCAGATGCAAAACAAACTGCAATGCAAAAAACAACTGCAGTGCAAAAATACTGCAATGCATATAAACATGCTTTTCGGTGGTAGTGGTTGTCGCTGCCTCCCCGGACCTCCCCTAAACCACTCTCGCCTGAATCCTAAGCTAAAGCCTCAGCACCAAGCTCAAACCAGACCACCCAGACCAGCCAGACCAGATGCAAAAAAAATGCAATGCAAACAAAAGCTGCAATGCAAAGAAAACTGCAATGCAAAAAAAACTGCTTTTCGGTGGTAGTGGTTGTCGCTGCCTCCCTGGACCTCCCCCAAACCACTCTCGCCTGAATCCTAAGCTAAAGCCTCAGCACCAAGCTCAAACCAGACCACCCAGACCAGCCAGACCAGATGCAAAAAAAATGCGAGGCAAACAAAAGCTGCAATGCAAAACAAAATGCAGTGCAAACAAAAACTGCAATGTAACAACATCTGCTTTTCGGAAGAGGTAGTGGTTGTTGCTGCCTCCCCGGACCTCCCCTAAACCACTCTCGCCTGAATCCTAAGCTAAAGCCTCAGCACCAGGCTCAAACCAGACCAACCAAACCAGCCAGACCAACCAGAGCACTCAGACCAGATGCAACTCCGACCAACTTGTTCTTTGGAAGCTTGGCGTCCCGCCGTGCGCTACACGGCTAAGAACGTTATTGCTTGGCAGGCGTGTTGATGTTGAACACAAAAAATGGGATCCTACTACTTTCGTCCAAATTAACCTCAAAAATGGCGAACACGCCCCTGCGATGTCGGCGCGCCCTTCAATGTCGATAGACGCCCCTCCAATGTCGGGGCCACCTCTAGGAAAGACTCGGAAGTTCGATGATGACCGACATCGGAGGGGCGGCGCATACAAGTATCTCGCAGTCATCGCCACTCTGTCCAGCATCTCCCCGTAAACAGTTCAGCCACGTAAGACATGTTTGAGGTTAATTTTGACGAGGGTTGTAGTATCCCATCTTTTTTGGTACACTGGTCGCTTTTCTGCCCAGTGCTCGGGCCCCTGGGACCTCCACACATCGATCTGGCTCGAAGAAAATGGGCAGAAAGATGGGGTCTACACAGAGCTCTGGTCGTGATCCTTCGCGATCCTGCAACTTTCTCGCAATGGGCTGCGGGGATCGATGCGCCCCGCTCTGAGCCCATCCACCCCCCCCCCGAGCGTTCCTCCTCACCAGGCTCGGCTGGATCTTCGCCGCCATTCGCGGCGGCGGCTTCCTGGCTGGCGTGGCCGTCGCGGCGGTCACCGCCGGCCTGCTGTCCGCGCTCGCGGCGGCCTGCCCAGGGGCGGCCAAGACTGCGCCGCCGTGGGCGTCGAGCGAGACGACCCTGAGATCCCAGACCCCCTCGCGCTGCGGAAAAAACACGACGGGAGGTTTTTCGCTATTTTCGGCCTCCAGGGACCCTCTCCGGGCCTCGAGACCGTCAACAAAACAACTCGGGATGAGAAACCGGTCCCGGGGACTGGGTCCAGACCTCTGAGGGTCGACGTTGTGAAAAAATCACGACGTGGGGGGTCTGGGATGCGACGTAGCGAAGAAATTGCAGCATCGTAAAAAATTGTGCCTGGACCTCTGGACCCCATCTTTCACAAGCGAGAACGCCCGTGGTGAAAAAATTACATCGCCAGGATCCCAGGGTCGAGCGAGACGACAGCGCCGGGCCCCAAGACCTGTGCTGGGGCGCTCTCTGGCCGGGATCTCGGGGCGGGTCCAGCCGTGGCCACGAAGGCTCCCCCCGCGGGGCCAGAGGAGCGCCCGGGCGCCTCGAGCCTCGGCCCTCCGCAGGGGCCTCGGGAGACCCAGTGAGGGCCGAAGGCGTCCAGAATGTTCCACACGGACGACGACGACGGCGACGGCGACGACGATGTCGACGGGGGACGAAGATGACGACGCCAAAGACGACGTCGAAGAATAACAATCGCACGAGGAGACGGAGACGAAGAAGAGGACGAATAATAACAATAATCATAATACGAATGATAATAAGAAAGAACGAAGAAGATTGAGACGACGCCTCGAACGAAGATTGACGAAGATGACGAGGACGCCGGCGAAGTTGACGGCGGCGGCGCCGACGACGGCGAGGCCCTCGTCCACTTCGTGGCCCCCGTCTGCGCGGGCTCGGGGCTGCCTGAGGCGAGCGGCCGCCGCTGCCGAACGTCGATCGCCGTCATATTCGTCGATCTATGATGGAAGCATCGACGTGGATCGATCAAGAGGTCGTCGTCGTCGTCGCCTTCGATCGATCGTCGTCGTCGGCCGAAGGTGCGGGGCTGCGATCTTTGGACGCGGACCCTGGACACCACGCGCTGAGCGACCGCGAGGGCCGCGACGTTATTATATATATATATCTATATATATATATATATATATATAGATATATGTATGTATATATACATATAAAAATGTAGACATGCACATATGAATACATCAAACAACATAAACAGCTATGTATAGATGTACATGTGTTTACTTACACCTATATTTTTATATGTACACTTATGTATATGCATTAGAGAGAATGACCTTCGGCCCATCCCGCCGCCGTGCCTAGGTTGTGGGTTAGAGGCATCTTGGATGTTCGTTCGGATATCGTGGGATGCCTATCGGGGGCCTCTTGGAGGCAGTTTTGAGGCCTCTTGGGGGCCGTTTGGGGACCTCTTGAGGCTTCTTTCCCTACCTAGGCTCTGCATAGAAGGGTTCTTACTCGGTATGCTTAAAGGGCCGGGCAGTGCAACTCGCCCCGGGCGGTTCCCCCAGTATCCGCTCCGCGGTTCCCCCAGTTACGTCCCCTTAGCTTAGCGTTGCTAATCTCATCTTAGCTGAACCTAGCTTAGCTTAGTTTAGCGTAGCTTAGCTTAACTTAGCCTAGCCTAGCTTAGCTTAGCTTAGCCTAGCCTAGCCTAGCTAAGCTTAGCTCAGTTGAGCTTAGCTTAGCGCAGCGCAGAACTAGCAAATCATATCATATCATATCACAACATATCATAGCATAGCATATCATAGCATAGCGCAGCATAGCATAGCCCAGCATAGCATAGCAGAGCAGAGCATAGCATAGCATAACATAGCAGAGCGCAGCATAGTATAGTATATCATCGCATATCGTAGCTTAGCTTAGAATAGCACAGCGCAGCTTAGCATAGCGCAGCATAGCATAGTATAGCATATTATATCATAGCATAGCATATCATAGCATAGCGCAGCATAACACAACATATCATTGCACATCATAGCATAGCGCAGCATAGCATAGCATATCATACCATATCATAGCATAGCATATCATAGCGCATCATAGCATATCATAGCATAGCCTAGTATAGCATAGCATAGCGCAGCATAGCATAGCATAGCGCAGCATATCATATCATATCATAACATAGCGCAGCGTAGCATAGCATAGCATAGCTTAGCATAACACAGCGCAGCCGAGCGCACCCTAGCGTACCCTAGCCGAACATAGCATCGCATAGCATAGCACAGCATAGCATAGATGTAGATGCAGGTGTAGATGTTAATGTAGCTGTCGGTGTAGATGTAGATGTTGCTTTCCTAGATGCTCCAACTCCTAGGTAGGGTCGCTCTTGGGGGCCTCGTGGGGCCTCTAGGGGGCCTCTTGGGCTCTGTGGGCCTCTTTGGGCCTCCTGGGGGCCTCTTGTGGCGAAAGGTTCGAATTGTCGGTTCGTGTTCCCCCTCTTGGGCCCCTCTTTTGGCCGTCTTGGGGCCCTCTTGGGGGCCTCTTGGGCCGTCCTGGAACGGTATTGGGGGCCTCTGGGGCCGTCTTGGAGCGTCGGAAGCCCGAAAACGCGAGAACGCGAAGCACATTGAAACACATAAGGAACATCAGTGATGTGTGCCTCTTTGGGCGACTTGGAGCGCTCTTGGGCTGTCTTGGAGGCCTCTTGGACCCTCTTCAGCGCTTTCTGATGTCCTCTTGGCCCGTCTTGGGGCAATCTGGCCTCTGGAAAAGTAACGCGGGGCAGTCCAGGAGCGCGCGGGAGTGCCCAGGAAATTTGAGATGTTTGGTGCCCCAGCCCTGAGAATACTATGATCCCAGAGTCCTGCGCACAGACAACAGAGGACACTTGAGGACCTGAGGACACTTCACTTCGTGCCTCGAGGCACGGTGGCGATATATATATATATATATATACATATATATATATATGAACACACATATATATATATATATATATATATATATATATATCGCGGGGGTCCGAGGCTCCCTGGCCGGGCCCAAGGACCTCCGTACCGCATGGGAGGGCAGGGGCCCCGAGACCGCACTCAGACTCTGTCCAAGCACGCTGCAGCTCGAGAAAATAGCCCAAGACGCCCAAGATGGCGCAAAGACAGCCTCAGAGGCTCCCAAAGCGCACCCAGAGAGGCCCAAGAGACTTCCCAAGAGAGCCCCCGAAGGCGAAAATCGCCCAAATCCGATGGAAAACTTACAATTTTACAATGCACTGGTAGACGGCTTGGGCGCGCTGCACGGCAGTCCAAGAGGCTCCCAAAACCGCCCCAGACGCCTCGAGACGCCCCCGAGAGGTCCCCAGGAGGCCGCCAAGATAGCCCAAGAGGACACCATAACAGCCCAAGACGCGCCTAAGACGGCCCAAGAGAGACCCAAGACGGCCCCCCAGGCCGCCAGCAGGTCCCCAACAAGCCCCAAGACGCCCCCGAGAGCTCCAGAAGAGGCCCCGAGAGGCTCCCGAACGGCTCCCAACACGCCCCAAGAGGCTTCCTTTCTCGTGAGACCGGCGCTTCGTGCCCTCTTCCTCCTCCTCTTCCTCCTCCTTCATCCTCCTCCTCTCCCTCCCCCTCCTTCCTCCTCCTCCTCCTCCTCCTCCTCCTCCTCCTGCTCCTTCTCTTGCTCCTCCTCCTCCTTCTCCTCCTCCTCCTCCTCCTCCTCTCCTCTCCTCCTCCTCCTCTCCTCCTCCTCTCCTCCCTCCTCTCCCCTCCCTCCTCCTCCTCCTCCTCCTCCTCCTCCTCCTCCTCCCCCCCCCCTCCTCCTCCTGCTTTCCTGCGCTCCTCCCTCCTCTCCCTCCCCTCACTCCTCCTCCTCCTCCTCCTCCTCCTTTCCTCCTCTCCCTTTTCCTCCTCCTCTTCCTCCTCCCCCTGCTCCTCCTCTCCCTCCTCATCCTCCTCCTCCTCCTCCTTTTCCTCCTCTTCCTCCGCCTCCCGGGTCCTGGGCCCAGTTCCGCGCGGCGCCCGCGCCCGCTCCCGCGCCCTCCCCTGCCCTCCGGGTCCTCCCTGAGCCAGCCGGTGTCGCACCACGGCGGCGACGACGACGACGACGATTGAGACTGCGGCGACGACGACGACGACGACGACGACGAGGACGACGACGACGACTGAGACGACGACGACGAGTGAGACTGCGACGGCGACTGCGACGACGACTGCGACGACGACGACGACGACGACGACGACGACGACGACGACGACGACGACGACGACGACGACGACGACGACGACGACGACGACTGCGACGACAACCACGACGACGACTGCGAAAGACCTCCAGCGCGATCTCCTTTGGGGGAAGGAACGCAGAGCAGCACGGAGAAGAAGTCGCGCCGGGGCTCTTCGGACTTGCAGTCGTAGAGATTGGCTGTGGTTGCGGAGAGCCCTGGAGAAATGATGACTAGAACCTACGCGCGCGCGTAGCGCGCGCGTGGGTTCTAGTGTATATATATATATATATACACGTATATATACATATACGTACATATGTATAAATGTATATATATGTATGTATGCAGTTACATCTTCCTTATCATATATCTTTAGACAGGGGCCGGGACGCAGAAAAAAACACCCCCCTAACGAATTTGGCCTTCCCCGGGCCTCCGGGCAACCCGTCAGACGACCCGGGAGAACCTCACGAGAGCCCGAAGACGGCCCCAGACGGGTTCCAGGCGTTCCGGCGCGCTCCCGAAACGACCCTAGAGAGCTCATACGGTCCACGACGGCTCCCAAGAAGCCGTCACCCCCACAGATCGCTCCAAAACGTCCCAACAGGCTTCCAAGAGCACTCCCAAAAAGGCCCCAAGAGGCAACAAGTGCAACAATTATTGATTTTCTGTGAGTTTGTTTTTGTTTGTGAATTTCGGGGTTCTCCTTTTTCCGGCTTCCCGACGCTCCAAGACGGCGGTCTTCTGGCCGTCCGAAGCCGCCTGGGAGGCTCCAGAGGCCCCCAGAACGCGCCCAGGAGGCCTCCGGAAGGCCTTGCGAAAGATTGAAAAATTGTTGCGAGGCCCCCAGAGGCTCTCCAAGAAGGAGCCTTCGCAAAAAGAGCTGAGGAGGATAGGGAGAATGCGCAGGGTATGGCGATAATGAGGAAAAAGAAACATGGGGGAAGGATCACGAATAACATTATTATCACGGCGATGCCAGAAAAGGCAACAAGGAATTATCGCTAAATTGTCGGCTTGACTTTCCGGCCATCCAGCCTGCGTACCAAACTTGAGGGACCAAGGTGCATGGCGCGAAGCGCCATTGCAGTCTTGTGTGTGCATATATATATATATATAATACGTACGTGCACGACTGCAGCGGCGCTTCGCGCCATGCGTTTTTGGTCCGTCACGCCGAACATCATAATGAGAGAGAGGTAGGTCAACTAAAGCAGCGACCGCTGTCGGTTGCAGTTTTTGCAGCCACCGATGTTATATTCCATTGTTGCTCCTTCTCCCTCCCTCATGTGCCCTCCTCCTCCTCTTCCTCCTCCTCCTCCTCCCTCCCTCGTTCTCGCACTCGTTGTCCAGCGAACTCTTCCCCTGGCAGCCCTGGGGCCACGGAGACGGCGCCCCCGTGGCCAGCTGGTGGATCCGCCACCGATTTCTTCCTGTCTGGGCGCCCGCCCAGCACGCGTCCAGGGGCCGTCGGCGCCGCCGTCATCCGTCGGCGGTCGTTCGCCGTCGATCAGTCGTCGTCCGTCCGTCGTTCGTCTTCCGTTGTCGTCTTGGTCGCTCGACGTCGTCCGTCGTCGTCATCTGCCGTCGTCATCCACGAGTCGTCCGTCGTCGTCGTCGTCGTCGTCGGCGGCGGCGGCGTCGTCTGGTCGGAGGCGAAAGGGTATCTGAACGGCGGCGCCGTGGCGGACATGTCCGACTGGAGGAACTTGCTGGTTCGCGTGTGCGGAGTGGTCGTGGGCCTTTTTTTTGTGTTCCTCCTCTTCCTCCTCCCCCCCCTCCTTGGGTACCCCTCCTCCTCCTCCTCCTCCTCCTCCTCTTCCTCCTCCCCCTCCTCCTCTCTGCCTCCCTTCCCTTCCTCCTCCTTCCGCCCTCCTTCCTCCGCTTCCTCCTACTTCTTCTCTTCCTTCTCCTCCTGCTCCCCTCCTCTTCCGTCTCATCCTTCTACTTTATGTGCTTAGTATTCTTCCTCCTGATCGTCCTACTCCGTCCTTCCGCTGCTCTTCCTATTCATCCTCTCTCCTCCTTCCTTGTCCTTATCCCTGCTCCTGCTGCTCCTGATTATTTTCCTGCTCATCCTCATCCTGCTCCTCCTCCCTCTTTCTCTTCCTCCATTCCGTTTCCTCATTTCGTTTTCTGTTTATAATTCTTCCTTGTCGCATCCCGAGGCCAGTCGGAAAGGCGGCCCAGGTTTTTCGCTTGAGACTTCCTCACCATCTATGATCCTGAAGCTCAAGAACTGGCAACAGCTTCACATCTGGAGGGCGGTTCGTTTCTAACACGAGGCTCTCGTTTTAGCGCCACGCAAATTCGTCTTCAACGATTTCAAGAGCTTCGCGTGTTGAGGGCGGGTCACTTTCAGCATGTAGCTCTCGCTTTATCGCTGCGCACATTCGTCCTACAACAGTTGCAAGAGTTTCGCGGATTGAGGGCGGGTGGTTTTCAACATGCAGTTCTCGCTTCACCGCCACGCACATTCGTTTTGAAACGTTGCAGTGTTGTTGCTGCTCTTCGTGCCAACAGCTGCACATTACCTCAACAGCTTCGCGGTTTGAGGGCGGCGTCTTTTCAGCATGTGGTTCTCGCCTTAGCGCTGCGCGTACTCGTTGTAAACATTTCAACAATTTCACGATAATTCCCATGGTTAGCGTACCAGAAACGGTATTGTGGAGCCGTTCAGGATTGCCAGGGCGCAACAGTTCAATGATTCGCGGTGTTGAGGTCCCAGGAATGGCGGTCTGGTGCGATTCAGCATCGTCGAGACGCAACAGTCAGGTTGATTCGTGGCGCTGAAGTTTCGAGAGTGGTGTTTTGGCATGCTTCAAGATCTCCAAACGGTTGTCTCCCAACGGGGCACTTCCCTCAGTGGAAGTGGATCCTTTTAAATGGCCTGTTGAGAGGGAGCTTAGAGGGAGGGTTTCGTCCAACGTCGTTGATGAGGGCTGGGCTTACACTGGTCCCACCTCCCCCTCCTCCTCCTCTTCCTTCATCTCCTCCTCCTCCCTTCTCCTCCTACTCCTTCTCCTCCTCGACCGTAGCCAGTTTGGCCCATGGCCACCCACAGCGGGCGCATCCCTTTGGCGCAAGCTGGCTTGCCATGTGCGTCCGGCCCCAGCGCTGCTGAGGGCGTGCTGGTGCGGAGGACGCCACGGGATCGGCCGGCCTGGGATGCTGGCCTGGAATGCTGCGAGGCGCCGTGGGCGCTCTTGCCTCGGCAGGCGGCCTTGCCGCTTGGCTCCAGCGAGAGCGCGACGGAGCGATCGCCACGGTGCGGGGGGCCGAGGACGCTCTCGCCATCGTCGTGGGGGACAGCGACGTCGCCGCGCGGGTCTGTTGCATGCTGCCAGCTTCGTCGACGCTGGCGGCAGGGTGCACGCCTACATGGCTGCAGAGGCTGCGACGGAATGCCGGTTTCCCCGCGACCATGCCTGGCGGGCAGCTTCTGACGGCCACCGCGAGCAGGAGGAGGAGGAGGGAGGAGGAGGAGGAGGAGGAGGAGGAGGAGGAGGAGGAGGAGGAGGAGGAGGTGGAGGTGGAGGTGGCGGAGGAGGTGGAGGTGAAGGTGGAGGAGGAGGTGGAGGAGGAGGAGGAGGGGCCTCGAGAGCAGCGCGCCCTCTTCATCCGGAAGTGACGCGGGGGTTTTCGCGAGCCGAGGCGCGACGGCCCGAGGCGTGGCCAGAGGCCCGAGAGCTTCGTTCGCGCCGCCAGGAGAGCCTGCGATGAGCGTTTGCTCCTATGTGCTTTCAGCCTCCTGGGGCCGTTCTCGTCGGTTCCCAGCTTTGGCATCGCTCGGACGTGTACATCTTTTTTTTCTCGACGAGGGCCCTCGAGGAGCGTCTTGGATCATACTGTGAAAAAGGTTATCCTGGCGAAGGGCCCAGTCATATGCGGTTGTGATTGCCGTCGTTGTGGGTATCGCCTTCGGTGGATGTCCTTCTGTTTTCTTCGAAGCGTGTGAGGGGTGTGCCGAAATGTGGCATGACCGCCATGCTGGCGCTACCACTGGGGCCTGCACGGGAGCTCACTGTAGAGACACCAAACGTGTGAGGGGTGTGCCGAATCGGGTGCGGGAGCACTACACGGACTGTGCTGCTGAGGCCTTCGTAGGAGCCCCTTGCCACGAAACGTGTGAGAGGTGTGCCAAATCGGGTGCGGGTATGCCATGTGGACTGTGCCAATGAGGCCTTCGGTGGATCTTCTTACGAGGCACGAATCGGGGCCTTCGGTGGAGCGTGTGAGGGGTTTGCCAAATCGGGCGCGAGTACGCCATGCGGACTGAGCCACTAGGGCCTTCGGTGGAGCTCCATGTGGGGCCACGAAACGTGTGAGGGGTGTGCCAGATCGAATGCGCTTACTCCATGCGGGCTTTCGGTGGAGCTCCCCATGGGGCCACGAAACGTGTGACAGGTGTGCCAAATCGGGTGCGGGAATACCATGCGGACTGTGTCATTGGAGCCTTTGGTGGAGCTCCCCATTGGGCCACGAAGCGTGTGACGGGTGTGCCAGATCGCATGTGGGTACGCCATGCGGACTGTGCCGCTGGAGATTTGGGTAGAGCTCACCATGGCGCCACGAAACGTGTGAGGGATGTGCCAAATCGGGCGCAGGTACGCCATGCGGACTGTGCCAATGGGTCTTTCGGCGGAGCTCCCTATGGGTCTACGAAACACGTGAGGGGGGTGCCAAATCGGATGCGGGTACGCCATGCGGATTGTCTCGTTTGGGCTTTCAGTGGACCTCCCTTTGTGGCCACGAAACGTGTGAGGGGTGTGCCGAATAGTTGCGGGTACGCCATGCGGACTGTGCCACTGAGACGTTCGGTGGAGTTCCTTGTGGGGCCATGAGACGTGTGACAGGTGTGCCAGATCGGATGCGCGTACGCCATGCGGACTGTGCCGTTGGAGCCTTCGCTGGAGCTCCCTGCCACGAAACGTATGAGGGGTGTGCCAAATCGGGTGCGGGTACGCCATGCGGACTGTGCCACTGGGGCCTTCGGTGGAGTTCCCCATATGGGGCCACGAAACGTGTGAGGGATATGCCAAATCGGATGCGGGTACGCCGTGCGGACTGTGCCAATGGGTCTTTGATTGGCGGGGTTCCCTATGGGTCTCCAAAACACGTGGGGGGGTGTCAAGTTGGATGCGGGTACGCCATGCGGACTGTCCCGTTGGGGCTTTCCTTGGAGCTTCCTATGGGGCCACGAAGCGTGTGAGGGTGTGCCGAATAGATGCGGGTTCGCCATGCGGACTGTGCCACTGAGGCCTTCGGTGGAGTCTCCTATGGGGCCACGAGGCGTGTGACGGGTGTGCCAGATCGGATGCGCGTACGCCATGCGGATTGTGCCACTGGGGCCCTCGGCGGCTCACTACCAGCCACGAAACGTATGACGGGTGTGCCAGATCGGATGCGCGTACGCCATGCGGACTGTTCCAATGGGTCCATCGGCGGAGTTCCCGATGAGTCTACGAAACGCGTGGGGAGGAGGCAAATTCTGATGCGGACTGTGCCAATGGGGTCTTCGGTGGAGCTCCCTACATCCCCGCGAAAAAAGTTAATAACAAAAGTGACAGGGATGGAAGCCTAAATGATGTTGAATCAGACCTGGCGTGGCCCGTCGCATCAAGTGACATCCGCCTGCCAATTCTACGGAGGAACTTCTCGTCTGCATTGCGCGGTGCATGCATGTTAGCCATCTGACTGTGGGAGCGAAGCCACAAGACAAAACGTGGAACCGCCCACGCCGGCGGCCCTGTGAAGGATGAGCTTGGAAGAGCACCCAGGTGTTAAGTGGCATCCCCCCCAACTGTTGCCACCAGACACGCAAGCCAAAATACGGCATATCGATCACCTGGCCCATGGTGCACGCCTGCGCACGCTTCCAACATTGAAAGGCTGTAGACCATTCGAGATGATAGTTTTCTTGATTGTGATATAGCTTTTCCCGGCCCTGTATGGGGCCACGAAGCGTGTGACAGGTGTGCCAAGTCGGATGCGGGTACGACTGGGGCCTTCGGCGGAGTTCCCTATGGGGCCACGAAGCGTGCGATGGGGTGTGCCAGATCGGATGCGCGTACGCCATGCGGCCTGTGCCAGTGGGGCCTTCGGTGGAGCTCCCTTTGGAGAAGAGGTGGGAGACGCGGGGCGCAGTCTCGTCAAAGCGAGGACCCAGCACCACATAATGGTTGGGAAGACGCGCGCGAAACCGAACTATGCACAGCGAACGGACGTCCGAGCGATGGCGAGCAAAAACTTAATATGGGCGTCTGTTCCTACAACCCCCTCGGAAAGAAACGCAAGCTTTTACCTTACCCCTCGCCCCCAAGTTTCAATGTTGATGGACGCGCGCAGCGCGGCCCGCGGGGTCAACCAAAAGCTTGCAATCTTCGCCAAAATCGGCGTCAACGTTGGCATTCGCGGCCTGGTGGCGTCATCATTTCGCGGGCAAAAGCTCGCGTTTGGTTTCGAGGAGGGATGTGTGTGCGTGTGTATGTTCTCGTCTCGGGGGTTAGGTCGGGCATGTCCTCCTACAGGCGGACTTTGGGCGACACTTTAAAACACAGTCAAAGCATATTCAAAAATAGTCCAAACATAGTCGAAACATCTCCCCCAGAAAATCTTTGACCATTTCCGAATGTTCCTCCTGCAGAGGGACGTGCTCGACTTAATTCTGGGAGCCGTTCCCATCGGCTCCCGGCGGGGTGTTCTCGGCGCGGCTGCGCCGCGCCGAGAGAGCGCTCGCTTGGGAGGGGACTCGGATCTCGTCGGCCTCCTCTGGGGGCCGTTCTCGTCGGCCTCCTCTAGGGGATGCCAGTTCTCGGCCTCCTTTGGGGGCCGCTCCCGTCGGCTTCCCGCGGGGTACTCTTCAGCGGCCGCGCCGCGCCGATGGGGCGCTCGCCCGGGGGAGGGGGCATGGACATCGCCCCGGCCGCTGGGGGACCGAGCTCTGCAGGCCCAGAAGCTACACTCAAGTCGGGCATGTCCCTCTACAGGAGGAATATTCCAGAATCCAGAATAGACAAAACATTGTCAGAGACGAGGTTTGTAGTATTTCTAGCTATTGCTGAGCCTTGTCTGACTATTTTCCATTTTTCGTCCAACATTCGCCTGCAGGAGGACATGCCCGACCTAGAAACACAAAAAGGTTGCATCGGGCGGCTTCTCGACGCTTTCGGCCTCGGGATGGGGGGGGGGGCCGTTTCTGCGCCCCAGAGCTGTTGGGAGACGACCCACACTCCGCGAAACTCAACGCAAGTTTTGCCGAACCCCGCTCGCCCCAAATCTCAATGTTCACCTGCGCGCGCGCCACGGTCCGCGGGCACCGACGAACAGTTTGAAATCATGTGCTTCGGTATCGGCATTGAAGTTTGGGGGTCTGGAGGTGCAGACGCGGCGCGGGAAAAACTTGCGTCTACGTTTCGCGCGGAGGGATGCAGGACGGCAAGCTCCGAGTTCAGGCCAAAGAGCCAAGAAGGTTGCAGCGTACTGCTCTTCGACGTCTTCGGCCTCCGGGGGCCGTGCGTGAGCCCCGGAGCTGTCAGGAGACGGCCCAGCCGGAGGACGCGCAATTGGGGGGCAATGCACGGGGGGGCAGCGAGGGATGCCGAAAAGGGGCCTTCTGGGGCCCCCTCAGAGGGCCTTTTACGTCCGACGAAGGCGTCTATACACCACCACCGTGCCAGGCCAGGGCCATCCTGGGCCTTCGGATGGTGTATAAGCCCTCCTGGCCTCGGCCAGGAGGGCGCATACACCATGCCAGGGCCAGGATGGCCCTGCTTGGCACGGTTGTGGTGTGTAGGTGCCTTCTGCGTGTTATGGCCCCAGAAGGAGGCTTGTGGGGCCCGAAGAGGGCCTCCCACCCCCCTTCATTTATCACCCCCCATTACAATGCGCGCCCAGCCCAGGACGGCAAGCTGGTTTTCGGGAAGGGGTCCCGACCTCCGTGGGTTAGGTCGGGCGTGTCCCCCTACAGGCGGATTGTGGACGAAACAGTCAAAATAGCGGAGCATATGCAAAAATAGCAAAAAATGCTAAACAAATCGTCTCCGTGTGGTTTTGTTGACTATTTTTGGATATTCCTCCTGTAGAGGGACGTGCCCGACGTAGCCTTGGGCGCCCGCGTCGCGAAAGAACGGTGCCGCGCGGCTGGGGAGGTCGCATCCGGCGAGGCTCCTGGAGGCAGCTACAGCCAGGCGGCCGCAGGAGCAGCCCCGCGGCCGCGGGATGAATTCGAAGAGGAGGAGGAGGAGGAGGAGGAGGAGAAGGAGGAGGAGGAGAAGGAGGAGGAGGAGGAGGAGGAGGAGGAGGAGGACGAGGACGAGGACGAGGACGAGGACGAGGACGAGGACGAGGACGAGGACGAGGAGGAGGAGGAGGAGGAGGAGGAAGGAGGAGGAGGAGGAGGAGGAGGAGGAGGAGGAGGAGGAAAGGAGGACGGGGGATTCTCATCTACCACCGCCTGGGGGATCGGCCTTCGGGGCCTCAGCGGGCGGTGCCCAGGGAACCCAAGCATGTCCACTCCCACCGCCCCCCCGGTGAGGTCCCAGGAGAGCGGCTCGCCGGGCGGGGGATGTGTATTTGGACGAACCCCCGCCTCGCACGAGTGAGGGCTGGCCGAGCGGCGGTGGCGGACACCCTTCAATCCTCCCTGCCTCGGAGCGAGGGCGCACGGCCGCTGCAGCTGCTCGGGGCCGCCCACGAGGCGGACACTCCAGCGAGGCCCCAGGCCGCGTGCGAGGCCCTGCGCCGCGGAGGGGCGGGTGCGACCACTCCGCCCCTGCGCGCAGCGGCCGCACGTCTTCACAGCGCTGCGACACGGCGAGGGCCGCCGCCGGAGGCCGCTGGGGGCCGCGGGGGGCCCGGCGGCCGCCGATGAGGCTCCTCGGAGGCCGCCGGCGGTCGCCGAAGGGCCGAGGCCCCGGCCGTCTCCTACGGGGCCTTTTCGGACCAGCGCGGGGGCCCAGCGGCCTGCCTCGCGGCGACGACGATGTGGTGGGGGCGTCCGTGAAGGCCCAGGAGGCCTCAGACCCTGGAGGGTTCCTTCTCTGGTGGGGGCGGCGGTGGTGCCCAGGGCCGCTCGACGATTGGAGTTCTGCGGGCTTTCAGGCCCTGGATTTCTGAGCCAGTGGTTCCTTATCCAGTGCCCTCACCGTCGCGACGACCTCGTCATCGACGACGACGGCGGCGGTAGCGACGATCCTCGACGCTGGCTGCCGGCGGCGGCGGGCGGCGGCGGCTGCGAGGGCGACGATGGCGGCGGCGACGGTGTCGACGCCGCCGCCGACGGCGACGACGGCGACCGCGGGAGGTCCTTGCCGTGTCCTCTGGCCTCCCGGTGGGGCGCGAGGGCCCGATGGTCTGCATCGGGGGGGCGCTGGGCATCGGGGCGGTGTGGTTCTTCGGCCTGTCCCACCTGAGGACCTCCTCCAGAGATCCGGCGGCCAGTGCCTCGCTTCGCCAATGCTTCGCCACGCCAGTGCTTCGCCAGTGCTTTGCCACGCCAGCCCCCTGGAGGCCGTTCCATGGCCCTGGCGCCGTCAAGCGACGGCTCGGGAGGGAAAGCTCGCCCCAGGGGGTCGATGGGGTCCTGGGGCCCCATGTCGGCGGCGAGCCGGAGGGGGGAAGTGAGAAGGAAAAGGCCTGCTCAGAAGGCTCGGAAGTCCCACGGCCTTCTGAGACGAAGTTTTCTGAGCCTTCCCCAAAGTCACGGGACATCTCTCAGAAGGCGCGAGGGCTTCCGAGAAGCCACGCCGCTGAGAAGGCCTCCTCCTTCTCACCTTCCCCCCCTCCCCTCGCTCGCCGCGGACCGCGTCTCGGGCAATGCGCGCCCGCGGATGTGGGCTTTCCAGATTTCCACCGAGTGGATTTCTTCAGTCCCGGCTCGGCTTTCCCTCCCCGTTCCTTCTCCCGTCCCTGTTTTTCCTCCGTCCTCGCAGCCCCACCACCTGCGGCAGCAGCTGCTTCTGACGCACCACCACCTGCGGCGGCAGCTGCATCCGAGGCACCAGCCGCCTAACAAACTGCGTGGCTACGAACTCTGAGGCCTGGTTCCAGAGCTGGACCAACAGCAAGCGCAAGCAGCCACGATATCACAATAGGCAGACATGCTGTTGAACTGGCTGCAGGGCAACTTGCTTCGAGCGGAGCAGGCAGCTCGGACGACCACAGACGACTGCCACATATAGTGGCTAGACGAGGACGACAGCAAGGAGGGGAGCCACCTCCACCGCCACCTGCGGGTGGCCCTGCTGCTCGTCCAAGGCTTCCAGACTGGTCTAGGTTCGATGTACAAGTTAGCCTGCAGAACTTGCGTGGCCTTGACCCAAACGCGGTAGCACGCGAGCTGCGAAAACTACACTTGCGGTGGTTCCACGCCAAAATGCAGAAGATGAGGCTCATCTTAACAAAAGATAACAACAACTGGTCTGGACAGTGTTAGGCTAAACTTGATAAATGGCGTCTGTGACACACGCAGGGAGTGCAGGGCTTGGGAGAAGCCAGGACGCACCGTCATGCCGTCTATTGCACTGCCTGGCAAGTTCAATGATGAAGTCGAATGCGATGTGATTTCTACAAGCAGGAACACCAGACATTTCATATAATCGATCTCTGCATTCGATACGGTGCTGGAATCGAGATACCAGACAAAACCATGACCAGCATCTTAGACGCATACCACCAGTGCTGGATGCAATTCGGACTTGCCAGAGTACTTTAATCCGACGGGGGAGGTGCACTCAATAACGACACCGCAAAGGCAGTCCTTTAAGGCAGAAGGCATAGAGCTGAAGATACGCGCGCGCGGACAAAACGCTACGACCATTGAAGCCAGAAATGGCAGACTACGACACCTACTTCACGCCATGGAGGTTGAACTCAACAGGTTAGACATACCTCTGTTGTTCACCCGTCTACTGCATGAAGCCTTGTTTGCCGCCAGTGCGTTCACCTTCTACAGTGAGGTATTGCCATACAACGCACTGTTCGGCCGACAACTGGCGATGCTACCCGACTTGCCTGTTCTGGACCACGAACAGCAGACAGAAACATCCGACCACGCTCGAGAACAGACTATCCGCCGGGTAATCATTGAGGCTATTACTCAAGCCACTGCAGTAGCAAAGACGAACCGTGCACTACGGACCAAGACTATCACTGGTCAGCATTGACAAAGGAGATCTGGCTGACTATCATTGTCCCACTACTACAAAAGACGACTCGGGTGGCTGGAATGGACCCTTCCCGGTCGTGCGGAATGATCCCGACCAGGGTCAGGTCATCATAAAAGTGGGGAACTGCGATGTACAAGTCCAGCGCGGCGGTGCACGACATTCATTATACATTCAAACTTTGACCATTCGAGGGATTGGTTCGGACAACGCAGCATTACGGACTGCGTTGGCCTTCATAGTCAGTCTTACCTGCGGGGCGACCAGCTATGATATTTGGATACCTCCCGACCAAAGGGGGGTGCTCCAGATGACGAGTGCAAGCCGACTATCTCCTAAGGTACATCTAGCTCTTCAGTATATCATCAGGGACGTCTTTCGCGTCGGGAACGTAGTCTGTGAGGTTGGCTAGGATTATTCACAAGCTACCTCCGGCGACGTATGCTGGCAGTTGTACGCTGCGCACTATGACAACGACGTGAACCCAGGCTTCCACTACTACGAAGCCGAAGGCACTGCCCTAAACATACAGGATACAACTGGATCAGCACATTCAAGGACCACCCAGTGCCTGACGCCCACCGAACCTCAAGCGGGTTTCGACCAACCCATGACGATGTTCGAAGAACTGGCCGACGTACCAATACAAGGCAAAGACGCCAGGGAGGCCCCAGAAGTCGAACCACCGCAGGAAGACGGACGGCTTCCCACCATCCGTGAGGAATTAGAGGCGGACCTCGAGGCACACATTATGGAAGTGTGGTACACAGAGCTACAAGACGAAAAGGGAACTGCTGGAGGCAACTCCAATAGACGAGCTCTACACTGTACCCACACAGATGATTTCTGACAACAGCGCGCTTGTCAAAGTAGCTGAAGAACAGCGGGGGCACCTGCCTACGTGGGGCAACCCACAGGACATAAACACAGCGGAGACATATCAATTTCCATTGGCGAAGACGACAGTTGTGGGTTGGACTCTGACGAGCACGGACAATACGTAGAACTCTGCTTCACGGCAGACGTGTCCAAGGTAGTCCTTTCCGAACAGCAGCGCATACTATTGGACCGCGCCCGTGCGACCACTATGCGAGTATCTGGGACCGCCGCAGCTAAACGAGCTGCAGTCGTCAAGGAGGACGACCTTCTCGCGAATGCTAATTTCCTGGCGAATCCAGTCAAGGTGTCGAAGGCCATTCATACTGAACTCCAGACATGGTTTGATAACGAGCGCTTCAAAATACAAAATATATCCGAATCGTCAAACATCACGACTTCGATATGCGCATTTAAATGGAAGTTCGCCAAGAACGACAAGGGCGAGATGGAACGCACCATCATATTAAGCTTGGTACTTCGGGGTTTCACGGACCCCGAAGCCTTCGACGTGGAGACGTTCCCAGGAACGGCGCGGCGGCCAAGTCAGCGACTACTCGACAGCGCGGCAGCGTGCGGGAAGCAGTGGATCATTGCTTCCCTCGACATCAACGTGGCTTTCCTTCAGGGACTCACGCATTGGGAACTGACTGCAGCAACCGGTGACAAGGGGCGCGCGGTGCGCTTTACATTGCCGCCTGGGTCAGCATCCGTGTTCAGATCCCTCCCAGGATTCGAGCACAACGACGAGTCGAGACATTGTTCACAGCGCCTCAAACCAGGCACTGGCACCAAGGGTGCACCGGGGGCCTTCTCGCTGAAGCTCAGAGGGACCACAAGAGGCCTTGGTCCTAAACCCGCATCCTCTGACGAGGAGTTGGAGACAAGTTCCAGCGTTGTTACAGCCGAGCATGTTGCTGACATAAACATGGCTGGCGCTGAGGGCGCTATCGACAGGTGCGTCAAGTGCGTTGAGGATACTTCTGGTAAATGTAAACCCAACAAACGCACATATACCAACTGCGCCGCGAGGTGCACGAAGGACGGCGACAGCGATGCTACACTTGACCAGGACGAGTATATAAAACAGCTCCGTCCTATCCAGCATCGCGAACTCACGGGCGCAGACGCTGAGGCCAGGGCATCGAGGATGGTCGCCGACATGTTTGTCAGCCTCAGAGGCGCTGTGGCTTACGCCCTTATCACACAAGTATGGTTACTGGTATACGTTGCACCACTGTGCAGCGCGTCGAAGAACCGACCGACATGCAAGCGCGGCGAGCGATTTCCAGGGCGCCGCAGGCCGGGCCTAAGAAGATCGTCTATCAAGCGATGACTCCGACGGGCGAGGCCGACCTGCGCAGCGACTCCGGTTACCGACGTCTGAGCGGAGATGCCGATGGCGATGTCGAAGGCTACGGTATTCGCGGGGCAAACCTGCTACGGCGTGGACGCGCGCATGCTGGCAAGACTGTCGCCCCTCTTGTCGACGCGCAATGCAAGTCTCATCGCTTGCAGGCCCGCTCGATCTCAGCGGAGACGCCTGCAGCAGCCCACAACTTGGAGGACTGCTATCCCACGATCGTTACTCTGCGCGAACTCCACGCAGGGCCGCCGACACCCACTCAGTTGAAGGACGTACTTGAGATGGGCGGCCTGAGCATTGAGGCCACCTTGGCCATCGATGCAGAATATGTCTTCAAGTCCTTGTCAAGCAAAGACCTGAAGACACCAACTGAGCGCACGCTCCTGGGACGCATCAGTTGGATGCGACATGTGATGGAGCGAGGTATCGCGCGCTGTGCACATTGGCGTGCCGCTCGCGATATATGACTGCGGACGGCCACGCTAAAGGGGGCATCGACAAAGACGCTCCTACAAGTCATGAGAGGAACACAATCCTTCAAATATGATTTAACAGGGCACACTCCATACAGGGCTGGCCAGACAAGATCGTCTGAGCCGCCTGAGGAGTAGCTATCTGCACGGGGAACTTGCCTGCGAGGTAACTTGCGTGCAAAGTAACTTGCATGCAGGCAACCTGCCTTGTTGAGCCCGCCTGCTGCTGCCTACCTTGTGTATCACAGCGTTCCGCTGTATAGCTTGCGGCGGACTCGCGCTTCGTCTCCCCCCCCCCCGACTCCAAAGGAGGTTAGGGCAAAGGCGAGAGGCGGCGAGCGTTTGTCCGCGGCCGTTTGTGATCGAGCGGCCGGCCGCCAACATATGACTGTGCCTCATCGCGAGGCGCACTACTTGCCATTGAAACCGGAAACATATTCGCTTGACATGGCCCGTCGCTCCCGCGACTCACTTCTACTCTTGGGACTATCGTTGCTACGGTACAGCAGAGTTGGATATAGGTTTCCCCTTAGGCGAAGCATCTGGTTGGGCATCCCAACCCCCTTCGAACTGCTTCTTGGGCTGTCTTGGGGGCTTCTAGGGTCGTCTTTGGCCTCTTGGGCCTTCAAAAACCGTCTTTGGGCCGTCGTTCGAGCCGTTATCCTAAGACGCTTTTCGATAAAGTCGAAATTCTCGCTGGAGGCATCCTCGAAAAATGACTTGTTCGCAACGTCTTCTCAGCTCTGGGTGCCCAGGACAAATCAAGAGGGCCCTAACGCGGCTCAAGATACACCACGGCCTGCCCAAAACATGTCCAAGGCAGCCTTCTAAGACGGCTCAATATAAGTCTTCCTTCGTGTCTTTGTCAGCGTACACATCGCAACGTGCGCAGCACACAGCAGACACAACGACCTCCACCGCATACGAATACCATCATAAAAATTGGCACACACACACCACGCGCAAACCAGTTGAACGCGGTGCATGATCCGTCGGACACTCGATCCACCACTACGCGTCCCGCGCGCGCGCCTTATGCTTCGAGACGGCTCCTGTTTCCGGCTTCGGCTTCCGGTTCCGACTCCCGGATCCCAGCTTCAGTTTCCGGCTTCCAGCTTCCGGCTTTTGGTTTCCGGTTTCCGGCTTCGGGCGCCCGGCTTTTGGCTTCCAGTTTCCGCATTCCGGCTTCCGGCTTCCGTTTTCCGTCTGTTTCAGGCTTCAGGCTTCCGGTTTCCGGTTTCCAGCTTCCGGCTTCCGGCTTCCGGTTTTCGGCTTTCGGCTTCCGGCTTCTGGCCCCCAGCTTCAGTTTCGGTTTCCGGTTTCGGCTTCCGGCTTCCAGCTTGCTTCCGGCTTCCGGCTTCCGGTTTCCGGCTCCTTGCAAGCTCTTGGGCCCCAGCTCCAGGATCCCGGCTCCAGGATCCCGGCTCCAGGCTTCTGGCTTCCGGCTTCCGGCTTCTGGCTTCTGCCTCCCGGCTTCTGGCTTCCAGCTTCCGGCTTCGGATCCGGCTTCCGGCTTATTCCGGCTTCCCGCTTCCGGCTTCCGGATTCCGGTTCCCAGTTTCCGGTTCCTGGCTTCTGCGGCTCTTGGCTTCCGGCTTTTCTTCCTGGCTCCCGGCTTCCGGCCTCCAGCTTCTGGCTTCCGGCTTCCGGCTTCCGGCTTCCGGCTTCTGGCTTCCGGCTTCCGGCTTCCGGCTTCCGGCTTTTGGCGGGCTTCCGGCTGGCTTGCGGCTTCTGGCTTCCGGATTGGACCTCTCCAGCCGCGCTTTCTGGATCACCTCTCAAGCCGCATGTTTTACGTTTTGCCTCGGGGACCCTCGAAGGAAAAATCTGTCTCATTCTCCTCTTCCTCCTCCTCCTTTTCCGTTTCCTTCTCCCCCTCCTTCTGCTCTTCCTCCTCCTTCTCCCTCTCTTCCTACTCCTCCCCCTCCTCCTTCTCTTTCTCCTTCTCCTTCTCCTTCTACTTCTCCTCTTCCTTCCTCCTGAGGGACAGCACCTCCAGGGCTTGAGGTCTTTTGCTGCTGCTCCTTCTGCTTCTCTGCTTCTCCTCCCGCTGCTGCTGCTGCTCCTCCTCCCCCCCTCGCCTCCTGAGGAACTGGGCGTACCTCGTGGGCAAGCAGTCCGCCATGGAGGACACAGTCGCCCGCCTACTTTCGCTCGCAGTCCGTCCCCGTACCCCTCCCTTCTCGACATCCTTGGGGCCCCCGCTTTCGGAGATCAAACCTCTAGCTTAGATGTGCAGAAATCGGGAATGAAGGCTCGGGTCAAGTCGGGCATGTCCCCTTACAGGAGGAATTTCCGAGAATGGTTTAAACATAGTCAGGGGACGATTTTCATGTTTTGTGGGTATGTTTCAATATTTGTTGGTTATTATTTTTTCTTACAAGCTCCGCCTGTGGGAGGACATTGGAGGACATGCCCGACCTGAGGTTCCGTCGGGCCTTGGCTTTGCAGGTCTGTCGGTCATCTGGGGTCGTCCTGGAGCCGTGCCGCCGTGGCCGCGGCCACGAGGACGCCTGGCCGCCCGACCAGGGTCAGACATCACTAGCGCGAGTCCAATAGAAAGCGACCTAGGGGTTTTCTGGCCGCGCCGTCGTCGGTTCACTTTCGGCAAAGGGGACTAACGGGTCGGGCGGCCGCGCCGTCGTCAGAATTCCCAGCCCCTCCTCTTCGCTGCAATATCCCCGCAGTTCCCCAGTTGGCGGTCGTCAGTTGTTTGCGACCCTCTCTTATTGGTGAGGGAGGCGTCTCCGTCAGTTTTGCGACCCCCCTCCATGTTTTTCCTGGCGAGTCCACGTCGTCGGTTCTGGCGGTTCTTGGATTTGATATTGATGATTCCCCCGTGATGGTCAGACGACGACGACGACGACGACGACGACGACGACGACGACGACGACGACGACGACGACGAGGGAATGGATTGCGACAACGACGACGGCGGCGGCGGCGGTGGCCACGACGGCGAGGGCGAAGGCGGCGACGGCGGCGGCTGCAGAGGAGGAGGAGGAGGAGGAGGAGGAGGAAGAGGTCCCTGAAGGCCGCTGGCGGGCCCCCACAGACAGAGGCCTTCGGCGACCCATGGGCGCCTGCATGCTTCCCGAGGCCCAAGGAAGAGCCAACAACGCACACCTTCGGCCCGCGATCCTCGAGCCACGACGCCGACGGCGGCAGATGGTAGATGGAAAGGGCTAGGCAAAACAACACAAGCATGCCACCGAAAGGTCAGTGTTGGCATGTGCGCCTAAGTTAGTCGAAGGTGAAGTTGGAGTGGGGGGCACGGAGCCCTAGCCATACAAGAAAGGATTGAGTTCCCCAGGGTCGGTAATGGATTACCCTCTCGATGAACAGCCCTAGCGAAGCTTATATCGTCGCGTCCTCTATGGTCTAGTTAGAGCTTCCCTCCTTAGGAAAAATTGTGATTCCCAATTCCCAAAGTTGCCCTCTCGCGGGGGGGAGGGGGGTGCAGGGGAGACGAGAAGTCTCCAAAAGCGCGCCGCGCTATGCGCGAGCGCGAGCTCTGCGCTGCTGCGCGACGCCTGGGGGGCCTCCTCCTCCTCCTCCTCCTCCTCCTCCTCCTCCTCCTCCTCTTCCTCCTCTTCCTTCTCCTTCTCCCTCTCCTTCTCCTTCTCCTCTTCCCTCCTCCTAAGGGACAGCACTTCCAGGACTTGAGGTCTGCTGCTTCTGCTCCTTCTACTCCGCTGCTTCTCCTCCCGCTGCTGCTGCTCTGCTGCTCCTCCTCCCCTCCTCCTCACACGGATACGTCGACTCCTCCGCCACCTCCTCAGTTTCGATCCCCCCCTCTTCCTCCTCGATGCCCCTCCCTCATATCCCCACCACCATCACCATCACCATCATAATCAGCAGCATCCTCATCAGCATCATCATACTCATCATATATCATCACCACCATCACCTTCATCTTCATCTAAATCTCCACGTTCTGCATCACCATCATCATCACCTTCACCTTCACCTTCATCATCACCATCACACTCACCACCATCATCACACTCACCATCAACATCATCCTCATCCTCATCATCGGCATCATCACCATTCTCGTCATCATCATTATCATCCTAGTCATACCTATGAGCATCATCATCACCTCCATCACCATCATCATCATTATCATCATCATCATCATCATCATCATCATCATCATCATCATCATCATCACTATCAGCATCATACTCACAATCATCACCATCATCCCCGTCGTCATCATCAGCATCATCCTCATCATCATCATCATCATCATCATCATCATCATCATCATCATCATCATCATCATCATCATCATCATCATCATCATCATCTCATCATCATCATCATCATCATCATCATCATCATCATCATCATCATCATCATCATCATCATCATCATCATCATCATCATCATCATCATCGCCATCATCATCATCATCATCACCAGCATCGTCATCGTAATAATTGTCACCATCATCCCACTCACCATCATCACCATCACCAGCAGCATCCTTATCATCGTCATCGTCATCATCCTCATCGTCGTCATCATCAGCATCAGCATCAGCAACACAATCATCATGATCACCAGCACCATCATCATCACCATCATCAGCATCACCACTATCAGCAACATCATCATCATCACCATCATCACCATCAGCATCATCATCATATTCATCTTCGTCATCACCATCATAAACAGCAGCATCATCATTATCATCATCATCATCATCACCATCCTCCTCCTCCTTCCCATCATCACCATCATCTACGGTAGGGAGACCTTGTCGGCATGCCCTTGGCGGGCGACCTCTTTTCCGACGGCAGCGTCGAGGACCCGAGCCTAGTCTCCGGGCGTGGCGGCTGGGCAGTCGTGGTCGTGGCACGACGCTAAGGCCGTCAGCCACTTTGGGCCCTGGCCTTGGCCGTTCCCTCAGGAGGCGGGGGCGGCAGGGCTCTACGCGGCCATGGAGGCCACTCAGGGCAGACTGCCTCCCATCAGGCTGCTCACCGACTGCCAGATGCTCGTCGACGGCATCGCTGCTGGCAAAGCGTGGTGCCTGGGCTGGCAGAGGCCCTACAGGGAGCTCTGGGTCCGCCTGCGGGCCGCTACACAGGACGTGGGCATCGACAACTATTCCTTCCACAGGGTGATGGCGCACGCGTCCCTGGCGGACGTGTAGGCGGAGCGCATCACAGCGTGGCAACGACGTGGCAACCATCGTGCTGACGCTCGGAACAGCGACGGGGTGCGTGTCCACCCCACCGATGACGCCTTGCGAGATCGCAGCGTCCGCCAGGACCGCCTCATCAAGAAGGTTATCCGCTGGTTGGGAGCGGCCATGCAGGAGGGCGACGCCGAGCTGACGGCAGCCGACGGCCATGATGGGCCAGGCCTCGACGAGGTTCGTTGCGACTGGCGAGCATGCAAGCTGCACTGGAGGAGCCTCTGCGGCTTATCCGACTGCCCTCGACGCACGTGCGGACGCCATGGCACCTGGCTGGACGCCGTCGACGGCGACACGGTCTTGGCGTGCCTCGAGTGCGCGGGCCACGGCGAGGGCATCCCGGGCTCATACACCGCCGGTGGCGAGCGGAGCTCGGGCCCAGTCTCAGCGGCGACGGTGCTTCTCACTGCTGCCGCGGCGCTGCTATCCAGCCAGGCGGCGAACGCCTCGTCGGCTCCCGCTGGCGAAGGCGACGGCGGTAGCCCAGATGCGGCTGGCGGTGCAGGCCCGAGCGTCAGCGGCAGCGGCAGCGGGGGGCAGTCGGCAGCCCCTGCCCAGCCGCCGCCACCACCGCCAGCGCTGCCCCCATGGTGGGGAGTGGACACCCACGAGTCGCACGAGCATTGGAGGGCCGGCATGCGCCTGTTCTGCATCAAGTGCGGGTACTGGACGCAGAGTGTCAGGATGGCGGGGCTCGCCAGGCCGTGCCCGACGGCGCCCAAGAACGCGGCGCAGCAGGCGGTCCTCGGGAGGCTGAAGCGCGGCCTCCAGCCTGCTGGTTCGGGCTCGATCGGTGACCCCGAGCCCCTACGGCGCCTCCGCAGACGCTTGAAGCGCCCGCTCCGTTCTTTCACTGCGCATAGTACTGCACTCAGCGCCTCCCTGTCGGAGGCGTTCACCGAGCGGAAGCCGAACCATTTGCGTAGGCATGTGGACGCACGGGATCGGGCTCCGATACCATGGGCAATGCAAACAGTCCATCGTGGGGCCAGATGCCTAAGGGACGAGTTGCGCTGCTGATGGCTAGGTGTATTGCTCGCTGCTCTCGTTCAGCGTGCATGGCCTCGGCCCGGTGCACGCTGCAATCTGTCTGCGCGCCTCGACGGCGCCTCTATGTCGGAGGCTGCGCTTCTGAGCCGAACCCGAATCAGGTGTGTAGGCATCTGCTCACACACGGGAGCGGGCTCCGATGTCAGCGGCAAAGCAACCAGTCCAGAGTGTGGCCAGGCGCCTTAGGGACGACATGATCTGCTGCTGGCGAGGTGTTTGCTTGCCGATCTCCGCTTCCAGCGTGCATGGCATAGGCTCGGTGCATGCTGCAATATGTCTGCCAAGCCCGGTGATTCAGGCTTTCGGATGGAAGCCGAACCAGGTGTGTACGTTCGCTGACACACGGGATCGGGCTGCGGTGGCATTGGTGGCCAGGAGCCATGGGATAGTTGCTCTGGTTTTGCCGAGGTGCCTTGCCGCTTGCTTAGTGTGTATAGCTCTGGCTCGGTGCACTGGTGCATGGCCTCGCGCTCGGTGCGCTCGTCTCGCCTGTCGCCTAGTGTGCACTGCCAGCCTCCGCTGCAGGGAGAATGAACCGTGGGCGTAGGCGGCCTGATACCCACGGTCTGGATCGGGCTCCGCGCCACCGCAGAGCAACGATGTCCAGTGAGTGGCCTCGAGCCGAAGGGACTTTGTTGCTCTGCTTTGGCTTCCGTTTTCCGTGCGTCGCAGGGCGTGCATTCTGCATGCCGCCGTCTGCTTGTTGTGGCGGTGGGCCCCAGCCATTACCTGCACTCTGTTCAATGTAGTTGCGCTGGCGCGTTCCGCGACAGCGCTCACCGCTCTGTCGGTGCCGTGTGGGGCAAGACAGCGGAGAGCCCGATGTGCGCTGCAGCTTTGCTGCGTACCAGCCCGCCTGTCGTTGCACTGCCCGCGTACCGGAGCGGAGGCTGAACCGAGGGGGTGGGTGGCGCCATCGACAGTCTGGTTCGCCTCCGGACGCCGTCGCAGAGCAAGGCGTCCATCGAGTGGCCATGAGCCAAAGGGACTGTGCTGCTCCGCTTTGGCGCGTGTGTGCTTTTGTTGCCGGCTGAGTTGCCGTGGCTGCTCGGATGCAGTGATGCCGCTGGGGCGGTGGGCGGTTTCTTGACATTCAGGTGAATCTGCGAGGGTGGTTCGGGCACGAGACCATGCGTTGCCGCTGCAGGGCCAAAAAGAAACTCGTCAGCCCGAGGGGCATTGTGAGCTGGGAAGTCCTGACCTCTTTAGAAACGTGGATCCTCCTCCTACTCCTCATCATCTCATCATCATCATCATCATCATCATCATCATCATCATCATCATCATCACCATCATCATCATCATCATCATCATCATCATCATCATCATCATCCGCATCGCCATTATCATCACCATCCGCATCGTCATTTCATCATCATCGTCACCATCCCCACCATCGTCGTCATCACAGTCATCACCATCATCATCATCGTCATAATCATCATTATCATTATCATCATCATCATCATCATCATCATCATCATCATCGTCATCATCATCATCATCATCATCATCATCATCATCATCATCATCATCATCATCATCATCATCATCATCATCATCATCATCATCATCATCATCATCATCATCATCATTACCGGTCTCTCGCCTTCCTCCTCCTCCCCTCCTCCTCCTCCTCCTCTTATTTTTCCTCCTCCACCAGCTCCCTCTCCTCCTCCTCCTCTGCCTCCCCCTCCTCGATCCTCGATTCCGCGGCGGCAGACGACGTCCTTCGCCGACCCAAACCCGCCGCTCAAAAATCGGCACCCGGACCCCTCTGGGCGCCCATCTTGGCTAGTTCTGCGAGCCGCGTCCAGCCACGACGACGAAAGAGAGCCCTGGAAGGCCAGGAAACCAGCAACGACGAAGACAATGCCGCTAGCGGCTCCGCCTCCTCCTCCTCGTCCTCCTCCCCGTCCTCTTTCTCCTCCTCCTTCTCCTCCTCCTCCTCCTCCTCTTCCTCCTCCCCCTCCCCTCCTCCTCCCCCTCCTCCTCCTCCTCCCCCCCTCCTCCTCCTCCTACTCCTCCTCCTCTTCTGAGGGGCAACGTTAGAAATGGTGGCACCGGCTCATGGGCGATCGACACAGCCGCGCATTCCCCCCCCTCTCCCCCGCTCTCTCTCTCTCTCCAGTGCCACTCTCTTCCTCCCCCTCCTCCTCCCCCTCCTCCTTCTCCTTCCCCTCCTTCTCCTCCGCTTCTCCTCCTCCTCTCCTCCTCGTCCTCCTCCTCCTCCTTCTTCTCCTCCTCCTCCTCATCATCATCATCATAACCATCATCCCCCTCTCCCTCCCCCTCCCTCTCTTTCTCAACCTCGGACATATGTTGGGATGCGTGTACACGAATCTTTCGAGCCAGATCCAGCCCTAGAGCTCGAGCTAAACGGTGTTTTGGCGATTTCGTGAACCGTTTTCGTTTTGATTTCTTTTCGCAGCAAAGGCAGAACGAAGACAACGAAGGAGAACGAAATCAAAAGGAAATCCCAAAACACTGTTTAGCTCGAGCCCTGTCCAGCCGTGTGCGGTCCGAGGGCGTTTTTTTTTTCCGCGCTTACAAAAACCCACAGCCCCCGACACCTCGATCCGCTGACCGCGGACCTCGAAGGTCGTCGGCGGCGGCGGCGGCCGTGGCCGCGCCCCTGCGCCTCCGAGAGAGCCCACGGGAACCTCAGACAACCGTCAAAGCCCTACGAAAATCTCCGGCGACGACGGCGGCGAAGACGACGACGGCGGCAGCGGCGACGGCGGCGACGGCAATGACGACTACGGCAATGACGACGACGGCAACGACGGCAACGACGGCGACGACTGCGACGACGGCAACGACGGCGACGACGGCGACGACGACGACGACGACGACGACGACGACGACGACGGCGGCGGCGGCGGCGGCGGCGGCGGCGACGGCGACGACGATGACGACTCCGACGACGGCGGTGGCGGCGGCAGCAGAGGACATCCTCCTCCAGGGGCAGGAGGGGGAGGGGGAGGAAAGGCGAACCTCGATCTTTGACGACGAAGGTGGCGCCGGTGCGGGCGGCCCTGCGGGAGTCATGGGCAAAATCAGGGGGGGTGGGGATACGCTCAGGGAGGAACGCCTCGATCCCCAGTCGCCCATTCGTCGCCGATGGGGGCCCGATAACCCACCCTGCCCAGGAGCGTGCGGATTCGCTTTCCCGGGCCCATCGTCGACCTATCGGCGATGCATCGCCGATTCCGGTTCGATGTTTCCCCCCTGAGCCGGAGCCACCATGTCTTACGTTGCCCCTCAGAGGAGGAGGAGGAAGAGGAGGAGGAGGAGGAGGAGGAGGAGGAGGAGGAGGGGGAGGGGGAGGAGGTGAAGGATGATGAGGAGGAGTAAGAGGAGGAGGGGGAAGAGGAGGAGGAGGAGGAGGAGGAGGAGGAGGACCAGTGTAAACCCAAGAGTCATCAACAATGTTGGAATTAACCCTCCCTCCAAGCTCCCTCTGCATAGGCCCTATACAACGGTTAATTTCCTTTGAGGGAACTGCCTCGTTGGAAGACAACCGTTTGAAGACCCAAAGCATTGTTCTCATAATTTCAAAGCCACGGATCAACCTGACTGCTGCATCTTGACGAGCCGGAATTGCGCCAGAGCGCCATTTTGGGCACTTCAACAACGCAGGTCAACATAATTGTGGCGCCCGCATGATCCCCCAAATCTTTCCAAAATGCAGATTCTGGTACGTGGATCATGGGAATCCGTGAAGCTCTTCCAAATTTTATGCGCGAGTGTGCCTGGCGCTAAGGCGAGAGCCACATTTTGAAAACGACCCGCCCTCAATCCGTGAAACTCTTGCAATGTTTGAAGTCGAATGTGCGCGGCGCTAACGCGAGAGCCACATTTTGAAAACCACCCGCCCTCAATCCTTGAAGCTCTTGCAGTGTTTTAAACCGAATGTGGCCGGCGCTAACGCGAGAGCCACATTTCGAAAAGAAGCCGCTTTCAATTCGTGGAACTCTTGTAGTTGTTTAAAACCGAATGTGCGCGGCGCTAGCGCGAGAGCCACATTTTGAAATCGAGCCGCCCTCAATCCGTGAAACTCAACGTTTTAAACCGAATGCGCGCGGCGCTAAGGCGAGAGCCACATTTTGAAAGCGACCCGCCATCAATCCGTGGAACTCTTGCAGTGTTTTAAAGCGAATGTGCGCGGCGCCAAGGCGAGAGCCACATTGTGAAAACGACCCGCCCTCAATATGTGAAGCTCTTGTCACTGTTTTCAGCTTCAGAGTCATACGTGGTGAGGAAGTCTCAGGCGAAGCGCCCGGCCCGCCCTAAAAACTCGCCTCGGGGTGCGACAGGGAGAAGCTATTCAATCGCTTCGCTCATTCCGCCGGCCCATGTTGCATGATCGCTACTGCTTCGCCGTGGGCCCAGGGCCATTGTGGCGCCGCCGAGGAGGAGGAGGAGGAAGATGAGGATGGGGAAGGGGAGGGTAGGAGGAGGAGGAGGAGGAGAGGATGAGAAGGAGAGGAGGAGGATGAAGATAAGTAGGAGGAGGAGGATGAAGGGGAAGGGGCGGAGGAGGAAGCCTCTCGTTGGCATCTTGTGTTGCTCTTGGGGCCAAACAGGGTCGTCGTCAAGATGCTTCTTTGCGAGGCCTCTTGGGGTCTTTTGAGAAGCCGTTCGGGGGCGCCTGGGAGGCATTTTTGAATTTCTGGGGCCTCTTGGGGCCTCTTTTGGGCCTCCCGGGGGCTTCCTGGGGCCTCTTGGGGGCCTCTTGGGGGCCTCTCGGGGCCTCCTGGGGCCCTCTTGGGGCGGAAGGCTCGAGTTTTCGGTTCGTGGTCCCCCTCTTGGACCCCTCTTGGGGCCGTCTTGGGGCCGTCTTGGGCCGTCTTGGGCGCCTCTTGGGCCGTCTAGGGGCCCTCTTGGGGCCCTCTTGGAAGCCTCTTGGCCTGTCTTGGGTCGCTCTTGGGGGCCTCTTGGGCCGTCTTGGAGCAGCGGATGGCCAAAATGGCGACAAGGCCAAAATCCTTCCAAAACCATCGTAACATTTATGATTTTGGCCTCTGGGGCCCTCTTGTGAGACCTCTTCGAGGCTACTTGGAGGCCTCTTGGGCCGTCTTGGGGTCATCATCGGCGTCTTGGAGCGCTCTTCGGGCGTCTCGGGGGCCTCTTGGGCAGTCTTGGGGACCTCTTGAGTCAGGAGGGGGGGTAGTCGATTGCGCCACTCCCCTCGGAGGCCACGATCCTCGTGAGGGGTGTCGAGAAATTGCCCGGTCTGGCATCTCTGATCCGAGTGTCCCGGGGGTGTCCTGGGGGTGTCCCGGGGTACCTTTCGTCCGGGGACCCCCAGGGGCGGCCCCGCGCGCGCGAACTAGAATATTGTTAACCAGTTACTGGAGATCTTAGCACGCCCTTGGCCCGTTGGGCCGGCGAATTTATAAGGAAAAGGAATGGAGGAGGAGGAGGAGGAGGAGGAGGAGGAGGAGAAGGAGGAGGAGGAGGAGGAGGAGGAGGAGGAGGAGGAGGAGGAGGAGGAGGAGAAAGGGGCGAGCCTCGATCCTCGGCGGCGGTGGAGGACATCCTGCTGCAGGAGGAGCAGTTCGCCCGCGCCAAGAGGGTGGGCTGCGTGCTCGGGGGTGTCGCGGGCGTGGCCTGTGCATTCCGCGCGCCCGTCGGCGCGATCCTGTACATGTTCGAGGAGGCGACCAGGGGATCGAGGAGGAGAACGATCAGGGGCAACGCCAGTGGGGGGGGGGAGGCTTCGGGGCTCGAGGTCTTCGGGCGTTTCCGTGGGTTCCCGGCGGTGCTCCAGCCTCGGGATGCTCTCCAGCGGCCGCGCCTCGCCGAGAGTGTTCTGCGGGTGCCCGGATCATCCCGGACGGCCGCCGGAGAGCCGAGCTATGGCCCGCAAGCCAAGGGGCAACGCTGGGGAGGGAGGGGCTCTCAGGGGGGGGACGCGTCGACCCCCGAGCGCTCCTTGATCGCCGATCGGGGGCCCCACCCCCCGCCAAGGCACGTCGCCGATCGGGGGCCTGTCGCCGATCTATCGGCGATGTATCGCCGATTCCGGCTCGACGTTTCTCCCCCTGCGCTGGTCCACGCTGAGGTTGCCTTTCAGAGGAGGAGGAGGAGGAGGAAGAGGAGGAGGAGGAGGAGGAGGAGGAGGAGGAGGAGGAGGAGGAGCGGAGGAGGAGGAGCAGGAGGAGAACGAGGAGGAAGCTGGAGGAGGGTCGAGGATGTGTTCCGCATTCTGCTTACATTTGGAGGATCGTTTCGGGCTCCAGGGCCGCCGAACATCGATCCATGTTGACGGATGGACCCTGGGAAGGATCTCAGGATTGGCTTTGAGCGGATTTCGGCCTGCGCGACTCTTCACACGGCCGAGGAGGCGGCCATGGGATTGAGGACTGCAGTGCAGTGGTGATTCGGGCGGGTGGCAGTATGGGTTACCGCCTGTAGTCAACGCGCCTAGTAATGACGCGCGCCTTCATCTAGGGTACCCTTTCATCCTTGCCTCTCTGGCCCGTCCTTTGCTGTTTTCACTGGTCGCCCGTGGCCCCCCAAAAAACCCAACTTCGGCCTCCAAGAGTCTTGCGTTCTTGCCACCCGTCCTTGATACACGTTTTGACTGTAAGCGGGGGGTGGAGACTAGGGCCCTGAAGGGGGCCCCTTTGGGGCCCCTGCTGGCTCCTGAAGGGAGCCCCTTCCGGGCCCCTTCCGGGCCCTCTCCTCCACGCCCGCCATCCAGGTCCTTTGGCTGCCCTGATGCGCCTGCTCTGAGGTGCCACACGTGCCGCGTTTCAACACGCCTGTGTCAACACGCTGCGCGTTGGCTCCACGCGCTGGCCCGCCATTTGGCGAACGCGTCGCGCCAAACGCACGGCTTCAGTCTACGTGTTGAGCTCCGTGTCGACACGCCACGGGTTGCGCGATGCATATCGGGGCGGCTACAGTGGAGACCCATGCCAAGAAGCACCCTGCTTGCCTCCAGGGTGCCCTGGGTTTCTTGGGCTTCAATGGTTTAGGCGTGGAAGGCGCGACGTTCCCACACCAAAAAGTCCATGGACGTCCTGGGGTCTCAGGGTTGGGTTTCTTGTGGACTGGCCTCCGCTCCAAGTTCAGGTCCCCCCCCCGCGGCCACCCGCCCGACTGATGCCTAGCGGCGGTGCGCCGGAGAGAGGCGAGGCAGGGCCTCTCCCAGTGGGCGGCGGAGGGGGCCCCCTTTGGAAAGACAGGGGCCGCGAAGCCCTCCCGGCCACCCAGGAGCCCTCTTGCCCTGTGCCTCTCGATAGCTCCGAGCCCCCGGAATACGGGTACCTCAGGCCTGACTGCAGCCCCCCCCCCCCCGGTACCTACAGGTACACCCCCTTCCCCCAGGCTCCCCCAGGACTACAGGCCCCCCCCCCCCCCGGACTCCGGGTACCCCCGCCCCCAGGAATACGGGTGCCCCCCCCCCCCTCCCAGGACTGCAGGTATCCCCCCCCGGGGGCTACAGGTTTCCCCCCCCCCCCGGGACTACAGGCACCCCCAGCATTATAATTGAGGGACACAGCGCACTCCGGATTGCATAATAAAGGGGGAGGGGGGTACAAACCTCCCAGACGAGCCATTTTGGGCCCCTTCCCGTCGGGGATGACCTGCACCACAAAGAGCCCCTCCCTGGGCGTGTCCAGACGAAGCGATCCCCCCGTCGGTCGTGAAAAAGTCGCGACTGACGGTCTTCGCTATGTTCAGCCTTCGGGGGCCCTCGCTGGGCCCCCGGACCCTCAAAAAACGGCTGAGGATGAAAAGCCCATCTGGGGGAAGGGGTCCAGACCGCTGGGGGCCCGCGTCATGGAAGACTCATGGGACGTCGGGGGCCTGGGTTGAAGTCCCCCGCAAAGGGCCGGGAAGGCGACCGGAGGCGACCTCGAGGGTCGAGGAGGAGGACGGGCCGGACTGGCCGAACGAGGGAGGCTCGAGGTCCGACGGTCGAGGTTTGGGACGTCTCTGGGCCCCTTTCGGGGCCTCGGGGGGCGCCTTCAACGCCACGGCCGGATTCCCCTCGAGAGTCTGGTCGGAGCGCATTCCCCTCGAAAGTCCAGTGTCCGATTCTCCAGGGAGGATGCGTCGTCGTCGTTCGTCATTTGTCGTTCGTCGTCATCCAGGTGTCGGAAACAATTAAGCAACACTCGCGCATAATATATGGTGTGAACTCCCCCCCCCGAATGCAATGTTGGGCTCGGATCTCCCGAGTTTGAGTGTCGGACCAGTGATACGTATACGTGCCAACTTTGAATTGCGGGGGGAGGGGGGAGTGTTGCTTAATTTTTTCCCTCAACCGTCCGCCGTCCGTCGTCCCTCGTTTGTCTTCCGTCGTCGGCGCGATCCTGCACATACATCCCCAGGCCGAAAGCTTTCTCGTCTTGGAGTGAAAATATGACAACGCCACTGGATCCAATTGGATCCCTTTCTCGGCGTGTAGCAGTTCCGTGGATTATATTTCTGTGTTGCGCGGATCCAGTCTTCCGTGTGTGAAAAAAACTAGTGGATCAATTTATTTTGCTGTAGCTGATTTTTAATGACAGCTTATCTCCTGGACCAACAGGCAATTTGATCCACGGGGCATTGCACGTGATGCATAATGCTATCCACGGAGCTGTGGCTCTGCAGACTGGTGCTATGATTATACCGGGGAAGGGTTTGCCTAGGGTGAAGAGAGGGGAAGTGGGAGGAGGCAAGGGGAGGCGAGAGGAGGAGAGAGGGGGACGGAGATCGGAAGGGGACACAGGAGGACAAATGAGGGAGGAGGGGGAGTGGGAGGGAGGAGGGAAGAGGAGGGGGAGGAGGAAGAGGAGGAGGAGGAGGAGGAGGAGGAGGAGGAGGAGGAGGAGGAGGAGGAGGGGGAGGAACGAGGGAGGCGATGGGAGGAGGCAGGAGGGGGGAGAAGGCTGGAGGAGGGAGGGGGAGGAGGACGAGTAGGAAGATGAAGAAGAAGACGAGGAGGAGGAGGAGGAGCAGGAAGTGGGAGGACGAGGAGGACGAAAACGATCATGGTCGGAAGCTCGA